AAAAAAAAAAAAAAATCCTTAATTCATTGTGATTTCTAATTTGCACCTTGGTTAACAGTTATTCAGACTTTATTTCATAGAAAAATTGGAAAACCCAGTAAGGAAGGTATGGAGAGTTGATGTTAAAACACGTAGGACCATTTGAAACATGTTTATGTTTTACAACCCTGAAAGAAAGAACGTTTTTATTTGTTCAAGGTCAGAGCACAACATCAGTCATCACAGGGTGGAAATGTGAGAGAGCTTCTCTGGAAGCAGCCGAGGTCATGTCTTTAATAATACAGCCACGCTCATGCTCATTGCGAAACTGGCCCTGATGTTCTCAAAGCAACGGCCCCCGCCCCGTCTGTCCCCCTCCTAGAGGTCACTTTTAATGAAAAGGCATGCCACAGTTCCTTAATTGTTTACTCCTTTATTGGAGATTTCATCAAGATCAAATTTGGTATTAGCAGGGGACATCGCTGCCGTAATCTGACAATGTGTTGAAAGGCAGAGTGTGCTGCTCTGCTGGACTGGTTCCACAGAGCGAAACGACCAAAAGATGCAGTCCATGTGTGTTGTGGCAAAACAAATGTTGTTAGCACAAATGTCAGTGCGTGTCTAATCAGGTCAGCAGGCCTGCATCAATGTTCTGAATCAACACACCCATGAACACCACTTTGATGCAACTTCTGCTCTGTTTTTTTTTTTTTTTTTGCAGGTCGTGCTCGGCTTTGTGTGCGAGGCAGACTTTAAAATCGTGGCCAAGGCCATACGGGACCGAGTGACGGCCATCAAGAGGCAAAGGGAGAAGTTGAGGCGGCAGGCGGAGGAGCGTCAGAAGAAAGAGGCGCAGGAAGTGATAGAAGAAGAACCAGAGCCTCAGACACCCTCACCTAGGGTCAATGACGTCGTTGCAGCAGACTCCCCCACCCCAGCCCTGACACCTCAGGCCTCCGTTTCCTCCCCCATCACCAGCTCTGCAGACTCTGGACTCAGCTCCAGCTACCCAGTAGAACCAGAGGAGCCTGAAGCGGATCAGCACTTCCATGTGCGCCACAACAGCCTGTCGTCTGCTAACTGTGAGCATCCTATTGTTACTGCAAAACATCTCTGCAAGCAGCGACACATACTGCTCTATTTAATACTTACAAGTTACTTTTTTTAATTTTCTGTTTCAGAATCATGAAAGTGTAAAAAAAAAAATCAGTTTTTAAATTAACAAAATATAAAAAAATATATTCATTTGAAGTGTGAAGTTACTTCAGCAGCACATTCCTGACATATAAATCATATAAATCTAGATCTTCTGTGCAGTTATAAACACATCAACACACATCAACCTCCAAGCACTGGAGGGAAATTTAATTTTGTGTTAAAAATAAAAAAATAGTGTAGGGATGCACGATATTGGGATTTTGGCCGATATCCGATATGCCGATATTCCAAACGCTAAATTTTCTATTCCGATATAAGCCGATACTGATATA